TCCGCCGCTTTTTTGAGGATTGTATCCACTGAAATGTGTCACTTCTTACTTCTTGTATGCATAATGTATAATATTTGCTGTAAAAAAATGATCATAACTAGTGCATGAGGCCTTACCGCCATTTTGTTTATGATGTTTCAAAGAAATAGAAAAAAATAATTTGTCCGTGTAGATCCCGTCATCTGGGGTAATGGAAGTTCTGTACTGAGCACGTGGTTCATAGTACAGACACCTATTGTGCATGGTACATAGTACAGACACCTAAGTTTTGGCTTTGTATGCAATCCAATGGATTTGTAGTTTTAACTATCATCCACATTGATGTCTGGTGAATTTTAGTTTGGGATATATACGTAGTGACTTCTAGGAAACACAATTTAAATTGTTGATTAGTTTATGGTTCTTCATTTTTTAGATCATCTGTTTTTCTGTATAGTTTATCCTTGACATTTTACGAATGATAGACAAGAAGAATGAGAACAAGTCCGTTGCTGTGAATGATTTTCTGCCTTCTGAAGCTGCCATAGAGGCTATCAGTTACTCCATGTGAGTGAATTGAATCGTTGTACAAAAATTTTTCATTTTCTTTCCTTATTCTGCAGAAGAAATATTCTCAATTTCTGTGAGGTGGTTTCAAACTGTAACCTTATTTTTTTGGCCCCTTTTCAAACTGCACTTGATCATCATTTTTTCTTGCATGAATGTTTCTCATTGCAGGGATCTCTATGCCTCTTACATTGTGGAAAGCTTGAGGCAGTGACACACTTCAAAACTTACATTGCTCGTGGCTGCGGGTCTTGGACTAATTCTAATGACAAAGGTTGATTGACTTCTTACAGCATGCCTGTCTGAATTTCTGATGCCTATATGTCTAATTAGTCATCTTGGTATTAACCGCAATGATGTATCACTAGTGATGTATTTTATACAAGTGTTACGTACTCGATGAAGCTTTTGATGTAATAAAAGGATGGAAAATGCTCCCTTGGAACTTTTTGAGAAAGAATTAGCTGATGCATTGTGCTTTAACACAGGTAGACTTGATGAGGATACAAGGATCGAAGATGTTAAACGCAATTATACGTTCTTTCGATTGGGAACCTGTTAATTGCTGGTTAGCCTCGTCTTTTATTGATGGGTTTGTCTTGGTGTAGTGGAATAATATTTTGGGAGACTTGATTTTAAACCTCTCCCCTTTAGGCTTTTTACAGATAGGTAAGGGAGGAATGCTGGTGCTCCATATTTTCTTCAGTGGGGCATGTGAGGAGACTGTAAGTCTTATTCCTCTGTGGGAAGAGGTTTGTGAAACAATTTAATGCATTGGATTGATGAGTAAATGTCGCAATTAGGTCAGTTTTTTAAGTCTTAATAGCATTATTCAAGTTATAATAGATGGAGTGAGATTTTTTCTATATATTTTTTCTATTTTTACTCAACAGATCAGCTGTTGTGAATTTAAGTGGAATTCTTTATAGATTTGTGGGTCTCTCGCAAGGGCGGCTTGAGATATTTTGGGGCAACGGAAATAATAGATTGGGCTTTTAATTTTTAATTTTTTGAAATGTAAAAATATTAATTAGGATTTTATATTTAAGCTTTCAATATTATATTTTAACTTGATCGGAAGAGAGTGAGATTATGATTAAAAGTTTATGATGGTAAATTTGAACTTGATTCTTTTTTTTTAGGTTGAAGATTTGATTTTTTTTGTAGTTTTAGTTTTTTTCCTTTTTTTAATTAAAAAAATTAGATTTTAGGGTATTATAATTCCATGGGCTGTATTATAAGTTGAAATTTTTTATGAGTTTAAATCTGTGTTTTTTGTGAGGTTTATTTTTTATGGATTCACTCTTTTGAATTAATAGCGATATATTCATGTGTTATGTGCATCTACATCATTGAAATAGACGAATGTTTTTTTATTAATACAAAATTAATATTTTTAAAACTAAATTAATCGTATTAAAAGTTGAGAGATTATTTTAAAATCGAAAGTAAAAATTCAAAGGTTAATTATGATATATACCTCAGAAATTTATCAGGAAAAGTAACTGACCCACGCACCAGTGACGAGTCACTCAGCTCAGTCCTGTACTGCTCATTTCTTTGTGCATCCGCACCCTCTTCTCGTCGCTAACGGCACACACCAACACCTCTCTCCGATCGAAAACATAGGCGAAACTGATATAGATCAGGGATCGAAAGATTGAGAGAACAAGAAGGAGAAGAAGAAGATGGGGTCGTTGGGAAGAGCAATATACACAGTCGGATTCTGGATCCGGGAGACCGGCCAAGCCCTTGATCGCCTCGGTTGCCGCCTTCAAGGCAACTACTACTTTCACGAACAGCGTACGTCTTCCCGATCTCGTCGATCTACTTTTCATGTCATTATTCAAGCATTTTAAAGTTATTTGCATCAAAATTCGCTGTCCAAACGTTATTTGCATCAAAATTTCTTCAACTCAATGTTCTGATAAATTTCTTAGGGTTTGCTAATTGACTCTTAGATACATAGCATTAAAATGTCTTAACAAGAGTGCAATGTGTGTTCAATTTAGCTTTGGATTTGTTCGTGATATATTCTGAACTCCTTGTGCTCCATTTGGTCAACGAATGACTGTTTCTCATTAATGTGCCATTTGCAAACGATGTGGTTTAGCTAGGGCCAGAAGGAATGTAGGATGTTATGGAAAAGCTAATTATACTAAAAATTTCAGATGACTTGTATGTTATTTGAGAATTGTGTATCTTGTTATTTCTGTAATTTTAGGGGGAAGGTATGCGTGTGCTTGTATATAACCTGGAAAGCTCATTCTATACTGCTGATCAATTACTCTTCAATAGTTCCCTGTTGATTTTGGTTACAGAATATTGGTGGATTGTAAATGACTTGTGTCATGACCTTGTCCATTTTTGTGCTCTTAGTTTACATGCCCATCTTCATATTGATGATAAATCTCCTCGTGCTCTGGCATAAGAACTTGGAGTCCATATCATGGTGAATATAAGGTAACACTGTGATTCTTGATTACCCCAGCTTTGAAACGCATCATAGTAATCCTAATGACCGTTTCTACTGGGTGACATGAGCATATACTTTTTTTGGCACCTCAAACTCACCTAACTTCTTCAGTCTTGGCTCTCAACTTCAGGAGTCTTAATCTGTTGTTCTATTCACTACCACAATCCACTCCTAAAGGTCACATGTCCTCATGTGGAATCTGTCCAAGCACTTGGGCACATCCCACAACTATGAGGAGATCATGCAGGCAATGTAGATCTGGTAAATAAATCTGTCACCTCAACCTCACTCCATTTATCTTGGCCCTTGGCCTCAGGATTCTTGGTAAAAGCTGCATGCCAACGTGTGGCACCTGCCCCACAAACACATGCTGGGTCCGACTCTGATGGGGCGTCTCAATACTTGGTTTTCTGTGGCTTTCACGGCTGTCTGCATTTTTGTGGCCAATGTTAGAAAGTCGTATATCTCTTTCTGTTCTTTTGGTCTTTTCAACCTCTTGTTACGTTTACTATCAATGATATTCACATAGCATGTGGATCGATGTGATATTACTGCAATGGTAGGGTAGGAATCAGGTTTTCGGGAAACTTAGCAATTTGAGGAACTCATTTGACTTTGTATAGACAGCTTCTGTTTACATATGAGCTGTATGTCTTGCCAATTATTTGTTTATCTACCTCAGGCTTGCCTCCTGTACAGTTTCCTGAGTATCATTCTTTTTGCAGTGGACAGTTCTCCATCTAATTAGCATAACAAGTTTGGGTTTTGGAACTGTTTTACTATGTCCGCATGACTGACTGTGGTGTGTTTTTTCTTTTAATGTTACTTACATCATAGCTGAATGGACTTTTATGGAGATACTGGTCTTGCCGATAGATCTGATCACTTTTGTGATTCACTTCTCTGTTGCTAATTATTAATATTCCCATTTTTGTTTGAATATGTTTATGCTTTATCCTGATCGTTGATCCCATCTACATTGCTTGGTGCATTTGTTTGTTCATGTATGATGTTCATGACCTTTAATGATATTTCTTTTATCTTTTCTTGTTTTTAGGCAATCTTTTTTTTCACTGTTCTGATGCTCTGTTGAAATATAATGGCTTTAACTTGTTATCTGTTTTTTTTTCTTGTTTAGTATCTAGGCATCGAACACTCATGAACGTGTTTAACAAAACTCCTATCGTTGATAAAGATGCATTTGTGGCCCCTAGTGCTTCTATCATTGGGGATGTGCAAGTGGGACGTGGTTCTTCTGTATGGTATGGATGTGTTCTAAGAGGTAAGCCACTTTGTAACTTAGATCTTAACAGGGTTATTGCATGTATGTCACTTTATTGTTGGGTAACTAGAAGCAAAGATGTCGAACTTCTTTCGTTTTATTTTCTCACCGGCATGCATTAATGAAGTTGAAAGGCAACCGGTCAATTCATTCTCTAAAGTAATACTAAGATAGTTCTTTAAATTTAGGGCTTAGACCAGTTTACGTGATATATGTTTGAAAGCGTGCGGCTATTCTTAATAATGGTGGCAGAACTTTTTGTTCTCCGTTGTTAAGAATAGTAGGGTAGTATGTGTAAATTATTAATAGTAAGAAGGTGTATATGTATTTCTTATTATTGTAGGTTAACTATAAATACAAGTGATGTATGAGAGTTAGGTTAAGTTTTTAACCTCTATCTTTTTCTCTAATATTGTGTTATGTTAATTCTATCAACTTAACATAGTATCAGAGCAATGCGATTCTAAATACAAATATTAATTTGTGTTTGTGTTATGGAAATTTTCTCAACACTGTTCACGTGTGGCACTGTTCATCACCATAAGAACAAAAAATTCCAGAACCAGCCAAAAAAAAAAAAAAGAACTGTCCAGCAGATTCAGAAAATTGCAGTAACATTCCAGCTATTCTAAAAATTACAGAAACACCCCAGAAAGTTTCAAAAGTTGCAGAACTATACAAGAAGTTTCAGAATTACAGAAACATCAATCCAGAAGTTATAGAAATTGCAGAATCTTTCCCCCAGAAGTTCTAAAAATTGCAAAATCATCTCCAAAAGTTTTAGAATTTCTTCTTGATTATGGTATGCATACTCTCATGAAATTTGAGACTAATATTTTTATTCATTGAAAAATTAGAGAATTTGCAAAGGATCAAAAATATATTTTCATATTCTCTTCTATTTAAATTTTCTCACTTCTCGTAATTATTAATTGCATCTTTGAACTCATTCTTATGTTATTCTCATCTTTCAAAGTCAATCATGAGTTCATATGATCATTATGATGCCTATTCATATACTTATCCAACATCAAGAATGTCTCAAGTTCATAGTTCTCCACAACGTCATCACTATACCTATTCCATTCCTAAAGCTTCTCGGAGTCATCATAAAGTCCATAATAAGTTTGAGTTTTATTATGAAGATTATCTAGAATACTACTTTGGGACACTTAGATCACATAACAGGTACCAACGTCATGCTTCTCAAAGTCGTCATCAAGATCAATCTGGATCAATCTTCAATGTTATTAGTGACCATTCAAAAGCCCAAACTGCCATAGGAAAAAAGGTTGAGATCTTTGAAATTGAAGTTGTTAATACTAAACATTCACTCAGTCAATTACGTGAAGAATGTAGAGGGGTGAAAAATCAATTATCTGAATTAACAAGTCAACTTTTTCACTTGAATAAAATACTTGCAAGTCAGCAAATGAAAGAAAATAAGGACAAGTCTCCAGTTTTACCTAATGTCGGACACCTGCATAATGATAGCCATATTTTTGTTCCATTGGACCCTCATGCTTTACATCCTTTAAAACATACTTTCAATCGTTTGAGCATTGATACTAGTGATGAGATTATTTTTGATCCTATCATGTTTCCTACCTCATCGGTGCCAAAAGTTGAATCATCACTAAACATTGAACTGGAAGAAAAATTCATTCAGTTAGTTCCTATGCAAGATGTTGAGCATATTGAGCTATCTATTTTACAATCTGTTGACAATTATTCTCTGTCTACTATTCTGAATCGTGATGGCATTGTTGTGGATTCTTCTTCATTTGAGATTGTTGATTTTGTTTCGGATTCTTCTCTACCAGAGATTGTTGACATTGTTTTAGATTCTGCCCCACTTGAGATTGTTAACTTTGATTTTTTGCCTACTATCAAGTGTTCAATTGAATCTGTACTTTCTTATTTTCAGTATCAGAGTGTTATAATTATTCCTTTATCATTGATGTCTTGTCCCGATGAATGTCAGTTGTTCAAATCTAATGGAAATTATTTTGCTATTCTTGAGTTTGGATCTAATGCTTATTTGCTTAATTTTTCATTGAATGTTAGTATTAGTCTAGATTTTTATTTGGAGGACATGCAGCTTAATCGAGGTAATCCAAAGCCTCCTATTTTATTCGCAGGTGTTCATACAGATGGTGATTCTTACATTTATCCTGGTCGATGGAAAGAAGTCGACGGTTCTTTCATTATAGATGAGACATTATGCCATCTTCATCCTGTTCTCTTAGGGTACTTCTATTTTGAAGACTCTCCAGATGAGAGTTTTTTTCAACTGGAGGAGAATGATGGGGATCGTGTAGAAATTGGATAGATATTTTAGATTAATCATGAGAATAATTTAGTATTTATTTTTTAAGTATTTTTTTTTAATTTTTAAGGATTTAGTTGTCATTATGACTATTTATTTCTTTTAAAGTTCTTTTAGGATTTGTGGTCTCCCTATATATATAGGAGATATGTTATTTGTTTTGGTAGACTTTGATTATTGATTATTGATATTGAATTTTCTTTCTAAAATTCTCTCTCTATTCTCATCTCCTTCTTCTTTTCTCATCCCTTTTTTCTTCCTTTCTCATCCTTAATTCTTTCCTAATACGATCTACATCACTTTTTCTCCTGATGCCAAAATTTTCTTTGTTCGTATCTTGATTTCTTTAGCTACTAATTTTGATTGATCCTTGTTTCAGTTAGATGTCAAGAATGCCTTTTTACATGGTGACTTGGTTGAAAAGGTATACATGGAGTAGCCACATGAGTTTATTGCTCAGGGGGAGTATGGTAAGAGTGTATGTCGGTTAAAAAAATCTTTGTATGGTTTGAAGCAGTCACTGAGGGCATGGTTTGGTAAGTTTGCAAATACAGTTTTAGAGTTTGGTCTTCTTCGATGTCAGACAGATTATTTTGTGTTTCATAGACTGACAGATGCTGGATATATCCTATTGGTGGTCTATGTAGATGATATTGTGATTACCGAAAATGATTTTGAGGGGATTGCCAAGTTAAAAATATTCTTACAAGGTCGATTTTATACTAAGAATTTGGAAAAAATCAGGTATTTTTTGGGTATTGAGGTGGCTCGATCTAAACAAGGTATTTGTTTATTCCAGAGGAAATATGTTTTTGACATGTTTGAGAAAGTAGGTTTGCTCGGTGACAGACCTATTGATGTTCCTATGGATCTGAATCAGAAACTTTTGATGGATGATGGTGCACTGTTTGAGATTTCAAGTCGGTATCGCAAATTGATTGGGAAGCTCAATTATCTCACTATTCAATTATCTCACTATTACTCGACCGGATATTTCTTATGCAGTCAGTATAGTAAGTCAGTTCATGGGGTGTCCTAGAGTACCACATTGAGAGGCAGTTACTCGTATGCTGAGATATCTCAAACGTGCTCCTAGACTTGGACTGTTATATCGAGCTAATGAACATCTTAGAGTGAAAGGTTTTTCAGGTGTTGATTGAGCTGACTCTCTTTCTGATCGGAGATCAACCACTGGTTATTGTACTTTCTTAGGAGGTAACGTTGTCTTATGGAAAAGCAAGAAACAATCCGTGGTAGCAAGATCCAGTGCTGAGGCTGAGTATAGGGCAATGACGCATACGATGAGTGAGTTGACTTAGCTACTACACTTCCTCCAGAAAATTGAGTTTCTAGTTCAACTTCCTTTACAGTTGCTCTGTGACAACTAGATAGCTGTCCATATCGTTGTCAATCCTGTGTTTTACTAGAGAACCAAGCATATTGAGGTTGATTGTCACTTTATTCGGGACAACATAGTAGCTGGGGAGATTACAACTCCATTTGTGAAATTTGAAGATCAACTTGCAGATATGTTTACCAAAGCATTGGGTCGTACATATCTTACAACTATTTGTTCCAAGCTTGGATTATATGATATATATAGTCCAGTTTGAGGGGGAGTGTTAAGAATAGTAGAGTAGTATGTGTAAATTATTAATAGTAAGAAGGTGTATGTGTAATTCTTATTATTGTAGGTTAACTATAAATACAAGTGATGGATGAGAGTTAGGTTATAGTAGCTGGGGAGATTACAACTCCATTTGTGAAATTTGAAGATCAACTTGCAGATATGTTTACCAAAGCATTGAGTCGTACACGTCTTACAACTATTTGTTCCAAGCTTGGATTATATGATCTATATAGTCCAGTTTGAGGGGGAGTGTTAAGAATAGTAGAGTAGTATGTGTAAATTATTAATAGTAAGAGGGTGTATGTGTAATTCTTATTATTGTAGGTTAACTATAAATACAAGTGATGGATGATAGTTAGGTTAAGTTTTTAACCTCTCTCTTTCTCTCTAATATTGTGTTATATTAATTCTCTCAACTTAACATCCGTCAAGTTTTTAGCACTGTAATGAACTCGGTAGACTTCTTTTTCATTAAAGAGGCCATCACAGACTATTGAAGTTTCTGCCCATCAGCCATTTTTATTTCGTCTTTTACAGAATTACAGTAAGCAGTAAGATAGGAATATTAAGGAATACATTTTGAATCCCAGTGATAGAACAAGTTGCCTCAATGTCGGTGCCTTGTCACGGAAGGTTGAATTCCAGTAGAGAGAGCATTGATCTAGCTAGATTCTCTGTAAGAGTGGTGATCTTAGCCTCTTGAGCTTTCACTTTCTCTAAGCTTGCACTTCTATCTTTTAACTTCCTTGCCAGTGTTCTTTTGAATGTAGTATGGGAATCCTAACCCACTTGTTTGATTGGATAGCCATGTTGGTGTTTTAATGTGCGTCTACTCTTAGGCCCAACTGAGGCTCCATTTTCATGTTAGCTAGTTTATATTTATCCTTCTTGTTAAGCATTCCATCTGCAGAATTTGGCTAACTTGAAAAGTAATTGACTAATCTGGGAAAGAAATGGCTGGTCCAGGCAAAAAAAACTAGTGTGACTATTTCCCAGATGGAACCACTTTGTCATGCCTTGCAAGCTCAATGATTATTTTTATGCCTTCAAGCTGTTTGGAATATCTGCCTGTGTGTTTGTCATATGTTGCTTCTTGTTGTCTGAATGTGGCAGCTTCTACACAGGTGATGTGAACAGCATCAGTATCGGCTCTGGTACGAATATACAGGACAATTCCCTTGTTCATGTAGCCAAATCCAACCTGAGTGGGAAGGTTTTGCCAACTATTGTTGGTGACAATGTTACTGTTGGTGAGTGATATCCGATATCATATTCATGGTATTAACTTGGGGCTTGTTGTGTGTTTTGGCATAGATCATGAACAATAACTTACATCAAACTCGACAGGTCACAGTGCTGTCTTACATGGATGTACTGTTGAGGATGAGGCATTTGTTGGTATGGGTGCAACATTGCTTGATGGGGTGGTTGTGGAGAAACATGCCATGGTTGCTGCTGGAGCCCTTGTGAGACAGAATACAAGGGTCCCCTTTGGCGAGGTTCGTAGATACTTCTATATTTCAGATCAATTTGTAAAAAAAATTCACAATTTGGCCCAATTTCATTTCATAGTCACTAGATCACTGGAGTATAATTAAATTTTATCACGCCTCTAGAAGCGTGAAAATCTAAACAAAATGAGCTAAATATTGTAGATTTGCTAAATATATATTACATACAATTTTGAACCCTATAAATGTAAGATTTGCGTAATTAAATTTATCCTATGAAATTGTGACATTGATTGCACTTTACCTATCGCCTATTGCTTTGAACAATTACATCATTAGCCATTCAAAGTCATGATATGCTCAAGTTGTTGAATTTTGATTTTGTGTAAAATCTTATATTTTGGACGAAAATCATCAACGAGACTATCTGAATGGTTGTTGGTGAAATTTCTTTCAACCCATAGGGTAAAAAGAAATCAAGATCACAATTTAAGGATTTAAATTACAAGTTTATTGAGGGACAATTAAAATAAAATAAATTTTTTTTTTTAAGAAAAGGTAATTTCAAAAAACTTGACCTGGGGATGGCCCCCCTGGCCCAAGCATAGCTCCGTCATTGGGTGTATAACAACCCATATTGGTGTCTGTTAAGTCCCACATCAAAAGTTTGCACAAGGGAGCTTGGGTATCTAAAGCAATTACTACAAATGACATCGCTAGTCCTTTTAGGTTACTTCTTGTAACTACTACATATGGTATTAGAGTCGATCCATGCACATGTCTGGTGGGCTCAAGGGCATTTTCAGACTCAATGTTTGTGGAAAAACCACAATCGAATCGTGGTATTTGTAACCCATATGGGTCCTTCTTGGAGAACCGAGATGATGAAACGGGGGAGATTTAAACAATCAATATTTGTATGTGTTGAGTACGGTTGATATTGGGTATACATATAGGAATACTGATCCGAAATGAAATCTTTTTGACTAGTTCTTTTGGGTGAGTTCTTGTGGCCACAAAGAAATGTGAGTGTCAATTAGATTGTGGAATTGTATGATATTCGCTACTATTGAGTTAGGAAATATTTATGACTTTGGAAGATTGGTTATGTATTGTTTGTAGGGGAATATTATACAAGGCGGGTTCGAGGTATAACAAATAGCTTTAGAGCTAGTATAACCCTCGTGGTGTAAAGGTCACGCAGTCTGTACATCTCTTGGGACGATGACAACTAATATGTGGCAACCATCTTCTGAAATCTTACATCTCCTGGGTTGATAGGGGCCCACCGAGGACATTAGGGCCTAATAAGACGCCATCCCTCATTGCTCAGTGAATTATGTGAAGGTCTTGATAAGTTTGTGCTTCAGATGCGTTCTAAGGCTGTGTGAGCCGAATAACACTGCAATATTGTACAATGCCATCCCAAGGCATTACATGGCATGAAGGAGGAAAATGATTGATCAATAGGGCAACCTGAAAGGCTGTAACTAGGTTGTGGAAGTTATGAAGCTGTGTAATGTCCAGGCATGATGCTTTTGATGTTGGTTCTTAATGTGGCATCCATTCTATTTCTGTTATTTTTAACTAATGGACTCTCAAATTGGGTCTCATAGGTGGGCATTTAAAAACTAAAAAGAAGTGTGTTACCCAAGTTGTTCTCTGTTAGTTGAGGGCGCTTGGAGGGATGGACTGGGTACAAACATAACCTTTAACATTACATAAGTGGCTATCTTTTGTTGGCACAGGAGGGAAGAAAGGTTGGGCGTATTTTGGATAGGTATAAGAATTCCTGAAAAAGCTTTTCTGCTCCTTTTGACATGCATTTATTAAAGCAGCTAAAAATATTAAAAATAAAAGCATTTGGATTTCTGCTTCATTTAGGACTGAATTCTGTACTTATCTTCAACCTGGATAATACTATTAGTTTCTCTTTTATGTCAATTAGAAAAACTGGGTCCAGTAAAGTGAAGTGACTCCATGAGGATTTGTGGCCAACCAGGAAGTTAATTTTTATGCGACTTTGTAAATACAGGTGTGGGGAGGCAATCCGGCAAAGTTCCTGAGGAAGCTCACAGAAGAAGAAATAGCCTTCATCTCCCAGTCAGCTACAAATTATTCAAACTTGGCACAGGTTCATGCTGCTGAAAATGCAAAGAGCTTTGATGAGATTGAGTTCGAGAAGGTGCTTCGCAAGAAATTTGCACGCCGGGACGAGGACTATGATTCAATGCTGGGTGTTGTTCGCGAAACTCCTCCAGAGCTTGTCCTTCCTGATAACATTCTACCAGATAAAGCACCAAAGACAGCTTAAAGTGTGTGATTTTCCAAGTTAGTCATCCATTTGGATTTTACTTTAATGGACGTTTTGTTATCTGCATTTTTATTGGGAATTCCATGGTTTTGTTGCCAATAATATTGAGGCCAGGCTGTTTTACAAATTAATCCTGGTACGCATTTTGGGCATGTGGATTTGCTCATCCTCTTTGGTTAATTAAAGACTTGCATGTTTCTTGATAAAAATACAACCAACATATAATCATATTTTAGCCCATCTGGTAAGGTCTGGAAGATATTCACTTTTAGAGCTCAATTGTTTTGCATTATATTTGACCAGCAATAAGAACGTGGAATCCGGTTTTCCGGAGCACTGGGGCTGTAGGTCCTTGAGTCCCCCCCTGTTGTCCTTTGTTTACGCTTGTATTTGCCTACTTGGCCTCATGAGTTATCGTCGAATGTACTTCTATTTGGAAAAGGGTTGTGCATGGGCAGTGGGAAGATTGTGGCCAACTTGGTGGTCAATTGATGATGTTGAAAGAGAATAGCTGGGTTTTGTTACAACTGAGTATCTTCTCTTTACGTGATTTCACTGTTCATGTAACAAGCAGTACCTCTCTCTCTCTCTCGTTATTGAACTAAAGATATCAGATTTGATGCTGTTCTTGTTTGTGTCACTGGTTAATCATACTGTCTTCGTGGCTTGTGTTGCAAATTCACTCATATATATTGCTTTCGGCTGTAGGGGAGACCAAATTAGCCCAACTCTGCCTTTTTTCTCCCCCCCCCCCACTTTGTCTGTGCATTCTTTCCCTAACCATTCTTCTTGTCTGCAGCAACCACATTCGTCCCCTGCATATATATATATATATATATATTTATATTAAGCGTAATCGAATTTATATTTTCTGAGTCAATTTTTCTTAACATTATTTTATCACTAATGGATCATCGTGTATTGGTAGGAGGAGACCCATTTATACATAGTGGGTCCCTCCCTGAATGCTAGCATGACTTTTGTATATGTTTCGCTAACATAATGAGTTGTCCTTTATTCCTTTTATAATTAGGTGTTCTAGGGATTAATCCTTGTTAAATATAATGATCGATTTCTCCTGTTTTCCTCTTTAGAATTCTATTCTATCATTCTTTTGTATTTCTCTTTTGACTGTATTCCCTTATTAATTGTTTGCTTTAATTATACTGATGTACGTAAAAAAAATTAGACAAAATTGAAGAGAAATCAACTTTATGCATATTTATAATAATAATAATAATAAATAGCTATGATAAGTTGATAACCATAGTGCCCCAGTAATATGAATTGCCATGTTTCACTGGCTTTAGGTATATAAAATCCTGCAAACAGTTGTTGGCAAATCGTAACAGAGGTGAAGTTCCGTGGCTCTTGCCATCAATAATCCATACATTTTTTGATGGAGTAGTTCAGGTAACAGGAATTCAATGGTGTTAATATTTCGAGGTTCTACGTTGGAATCTCGTAAAAAATATTATGAGTAACCCAATATGAATAGTTTGTGAAGTAATTGTGCACATGACGGACTTACAAAACAGCCGAGAGTCCAAAAAAATGAGCTCATTCTTCTAAACAGTCGTTTCTATTGGGAAATAATAATATTTTCTATATATAAACTATATCATATATCTATATAATAAATCACATGGAAAATTGAATTTTATTCTCTACATATTTTTTCTCTCAATTTCATCACATCACTCATTTTATCACATGCTCAATTATTTAATATTTATTTAATTTATAGTTTAATATAATTTTTATTTTAGATATTGAAAAAATTTTATCGATATTTTTAAGAAAATAATAGACAAAAATAAATATTAAATGATGTAATCAAATAAATAAAGAAAAAAAATTATTATTTAATATAATAAAATTAATTTTTTGACAACTTGAATTTTATGTTTTTTCGTATTTTTAAGCATGAAACATGACTAATAATATATTTATATGTCTCGAATCTCGAGAACACCTTTGACCTTAATATCTCTCTTGTACAAACAACATAGTGCCTGCCAACCAATATGCATACGTATTTTATGTGGGACACGACTTTTTATTTTTAGAGAACAACAAGTGCCTATAAAATGTACACCATACAATATATGTATATATATATATATATGTATATATATATATATATATATATTAGTGATACCCGTGACTGAAGTCACTCAATATTGAACTATAATACTATGCGTGTATTGAAATGTGTGTATACAACTGGAGTGTATATATAATGTGTATGTGTAGTGAGTGTGTATTGGAACATGTGTAACTATGTGTTGTGGAGTATTTGTGTTGAGTTTGTAAAATTTGGGAGGGAAAGTGTGTGAAATTTGGAGGAAAAAATATACCTCCCATAAGTTCAAACACCTAACTATCTTATTATATAGATATATAGATAGATAGTCATGGAGAAAGTTTAGTTAATTTTTTTTTCAATGGTCCGGAGTGTTCGATTCAATTTATGTACATCTTGATAAAATTATATTATGGCCAAAAGGACTATATAATCCTCCTTAATTTTTTAAAATTAATGTATACCTTAAAATTATGTTACATAGACCTCTCAAAACATTTTTTATTTTCCTTGAATTATTGAATATAATGTACGATGAACCATTTTAAATGGTCTCGTGAATTATTTTAGTTAAAAATTTAACGATTTGTACATAATATTATGCATTTGAATGATTAATAGTGGAATATATGCTCAAATCAATAGTCGATTGATAAGAGAAATTAAGGTCATAGTTTATAAGGGGACACACATAGAATTTATCCAAACCTCCGTATACAGCATCCAAATTCAGATTTAAATACACATTTAAAAGATCAATACACTCTCCATTTTTTTTCTTCTGCTTTTCGTAATTTGCAAAACATTCATGAGATTTGTTGTTGGGCTTTTCGCACTTTAAACCTTGAAAAATGTCTCGATTTTTATTTTACACTCACACTCCGAAAGATTATTTTTTTCACATTATACCTTAAATGTCTTAAATTAGTTTTAATATGACCCTCAAACTAACATTCATTTTAAATTCTGTTAAAAATGTCATCCACGTGTGTTACTCTTGGACAAAAATATAAACTCACTATTCATATCCTTGGATAACATGTACATTAATTTTTAACGGAATCTAAAGTAGATGTTAGTCCGAGGGTGACATTATAACTAATTTATGATATTCAGAGTGCAATGTGAAAAAAAAATCTTTCAAAGTGCAAAGTGGGAATCAAGATATCTTTCAAAATGTAAAGTGCAAAAAACCTTTTGTCGTTCTCGAATGATTGTGTAATAAAATTAAGCTTAAATTATTAATTTCTGCATAATAAATCTTGTTGAGGAGGGCAAGAGAGTTGGGCAATTAGACCACCCACTGCATGCGTATATAATACCTAATAACTCACCTAATAAACAAACTGATTTTTAAGTGTACCACATGATGGAATTTTGAGCTTTGTGGATACGACTAAGCATAAAGTGGTGGCCAACACGATGGACCCATAAAAAGAGGAATTAATTACTAGATTATAAGGTATATTTTGTAAATATATTTATCAATTTATGATATTTTTGAACTTATTTATTAGACTACGACACTTTCTAAAAAAACGAAGATGGTGATCCCGCTTTTGTTTAAAACAAAAAAAAATTGGATCAATAATCCCATTTTTAAGTTAAAATTATGGACTATATATAATTTGACGTCATGATCGATATTTTGTGTGGGTATGCTAAAAAGTTGGCTTAACAACTATATATATATTTTTTTGGTTTAATGGTTAAGGGTATTCAGATTAGCTTATGTTTATTTTGATTAATTCCTTCTCCGTTTCGGTTAAAGGTAGATTATCCACACCGAGATTACGATATTCATTAGGGATAAATCTTTCATTACCTGACCTCAATAAATTGTCAGGATTTAAATTCAGGACATTTAAATTTACAATTTAGGCCATAAATTTTTGGAAGACCCTGTAAATTTAAGTAAATCATTGACCTACAAAAAAAATTAAATTCATTAAATTTTATGCCCTACAAAAAATCCCAAAAAATAAAATTTAATCAAAATTTTTATTGTAATAATTTTGATCTATTATCCAATTCATAACATTAAAAACTTAAAAAATAAAATAAAATATTCAAAAGTCAGCTCATATTTACTCTCCCTCTCTGTAATAAAAAATAAAAATAAAAGTTGAAATATCTTTCTCAACAATATTAACACATTTTTTTTTCGTCTCTCTCTCACATAAAAAAATTAAAATAAATTATTTTTTTTAAAAATACTAAAAATAAAAAAATTTCTATTTAATATTTTCACTTGAGCCAGGAATAATGGAATTTTGAGCTTTGTGAACACGACTAGCATAAAGTGGCCAACACAAATGGACCCCAGAAAAGAGCTCTTCTTTTATGCATGGGAGAAACTGGAGGGCCTTATTTAATGGCCCCCAGCTGCAGAAAACCATCATTCTATTTCCTTTTTCTGCAGCAAAATTGTTAAAGCACTCACATATATATATATATATATATATATATACACACACACAGGTGTGACACTCTTGTCTTTTCTTAAGGGATGGCTAATAAGGGATTGTAAAGGGAACAAAGTCAAAAATAATCAAAGAAAAATAGACGTTTAGCAATTTTTTGAAAGTAATTTTTCATATCAAAGTAAGTATTTAACATCGTTGTATGTCCAAAAATGTACACTTGACCCAATATTGCTTGATAGGACAACTCCGTGTCAATAAATTTTATAAAAATTTGAAAATTGTATGAATATACATTTAGTTAGTACTATTATTCTTATGTGTCATCCCTCCTCGGTTGAAAGTGAGTGATCTCTATTAGCCAAACAACCGTATTTCCAAATCACTAGCCCTGCCTCAATCTGTGGTCTGCAAATACCCTTTTTGGCTTCAAACCTACCAAGCTCCATAATATCATTGAATGGCTGCTTAACTGAATTTTTCATTGCTATAAAGACTAGACTTGACTAAAGTATCGACAAAAAAAAATCGGTCTCGTATCTCTAAAATTTATTATTTTAATTGGTATTTTTATATTTTTGTGAGTTATTGTTTTACAACAAAATTTTTTTTTATCACTTTTGTGGGTGATTTATCAATTTTGTGAGTATTTTTACTATTATTGTGGTAATTATTTTTATCACTTTTCTTCGATACAAAAAAAATTATCACTTTTTTGGGCGGTTTATTACATTTGTGAATAATTGTAAATATTTTTATCACTGTTATGATAAATATTTTTATTATTTTTTTCGGTATCACAATAATGATAAAAATACTCATAATAATAATAAAATTAATTACAAATATAATAAATAGGGGTTTGAATTTGTTTTTTGGGTACCATGTACAAGTGTTTGCTATATGGTCCACTTTATACCTACCACTTGTTAGATGAGTGGTACCAAAGCTTCGTAGAATTTTGTGACCGGTGGTACCTACTTTTAATTCAAGTTTCGAAAACTTTCATTTCTTGGAACGTAGATCAACGATGGACTGAATAAGTTGGAATCCTTCGAGGGTTCTTTTCATTTATACACTAGGATGTCGATTCAACTTGTTGGATACTTATGAAGAAAATAAATCAAGGGTTATTTATCGTAGGTCTCAAGTTTAATTCGTTTCTCAATTTTGATAATATACATAATTCCCAGATGTCTAGATGTGTTCTAAAAGCTCAAATTTTATTATTTTGTCGATTTGCTTGATATGTGTTAGTTCAGGGATTATTGTTCATATTTATGGTTTACTTTGTAATTACTGGTGGCAAATCGGGTCGGATTGGGTCATTTCGAGTTTATGTTGAACACTAGTCAACATTAACTCAACCTGTTTAAATAATCGTGTTATGTCACGTAGACTTATTTATTTTCTTGTTGTGTTCGTGTTGACCCATATGACCCGTGAATAAAAAATTTAACGTTCAATTTTATGTCTAAAATTTCATTATCATTTAATCGAATTTGTGCTCATACTTTTTCTATATATTAAAAATTAACTCAATAAATATAATAATACAAAATGAATAAAAATATATTTTTTTTGTATAAGAATTAGGTCACCACTTGATAAAATATAACAAAAAATTAACATTTTTTCTTATAATACTATTTAAACTTGTTAATCGTCTCAATTTCATGTTGTTCGTGTCTGACACTAACTCAATTTATTTATTATTCGTGTTAATATCGTATTATATGCGTGTAAGTGTCGAGAAATAACTAACCCTAATTTGTTAATTTCAGGTCTTGTTTTCGTGTTGTGTCAAAAGTCGTAACCTTCTATTTGTAATCGTGAGTCAAAACTAGTTGTGACAACACGTTTTTACGCAAAATAAAATGTGATTCCCAAACTACTAGTAAGATGGTCATGTTAGGCATTACTTAGGTTGCTTCCACATAAATTCGATCATTCCCAAATGAGAATATTTGCGTAACTTTAAAGAGTAATTGAAACTTTCTACTATTAAGAGAAACTTGAGTATGACAATTCCGAATTCCAATAGAATAAGGAACATGCCATAATGAAAGATTATAGAAGAACCATGTTAAAAAAAGATCCATATGCTTTCTATGGAGCCATATATCTTGAGCAAAAGCTCTTCAAATCTAAATAATTTTTTTTCTATTTATTAGTAATAGAAATAAGTTATAAATTCAGATGTCTTGAGTTTGAATCTTGACAATTTTTAAGAGTCCGACCACGAGAGATTTATGTCTCTTCTGAACACTTTAATATTAACTTAAATGACATATTTTCAACTGAACAGATAAAAAAAAAAAGGGAACGAAGCATGCCATGGCTGGTCTAGTTTATTGTTTTTCTGTGGACAAAAGCAAAAGCCAAAACTATGACCCCACAACGACAGACCTACTGCAAACACAGAGCAAGCCAGAGTCTCCTCATGACAAAGACAATGGGTTCCATCTTAAATGAAGGTAGTGTTTGTTGTAGTTGCGTACTTGCTTCATTTATCAACCTCATATTAATGTTTTCAAAGCGACCGACGACTTTTTTTCAGTCACTTATTATTTGAATTCACGATTATTATAAAAATTCGAAATATACGAATTACTTGTAAAAATTACATTTATCAAGGCAATTTGAACATCTTTTACAAAAACATACATTTTTTGATAATGAGAAAAAATTTTAGTCTGTCCCCGACGGATAGAGACTTTTTATGTTGCTTGCTCGTGAGTTTGGGTAAAATTGAGGACAAACTCCGAATGCATGAATCGATCTCTCAAACCACAAAGTAGGGTGGTCTAGTGGAGTAATGACCTTTCTCCTCACTTTGAGGTTGAGAGTTCGACTCTTGGAATCGTTATTGGGACTTGGTGGTTGGTTGCTATGTTAGTCTAACTAGGTCTGATTCCGAGAGATTTTAGACGCGGTAAGGGGCCAAATGATCCCACCGGTAAGAATCTATCAGGGTGGTCGCTGGTTGTTTTTCTTTGTCCCCATTCATTTTTTTAATATCAAAAAAAAAGAATCGATCTTTCAACCCAAACACTAGTTAAATTAAAATTTACATTTTAATAAAAATTCAAACTCACAGCCAAGCAACTGATGTCCGTTTTACTGATCAATCTAATTTTTTTCACCAGCAAAAACATTCGTACCAAGAACCAACGAATGGTTTGGCTAAAAAAAGGTTGAGGCTTCTGGGGAACAAGATATGGTTCAAGGACAACATGTCGCATGTAACATGTGGAGGTCATTCACTGATGTTATACCTTAAAAAAAAAAATTAAAAAAAGAGATATACCAATAAAAAAATTCAAATTCTACTTGTCAGAAACAACTATTATCCCCAAAAAAAAAAATAAAAAAAATTGGTATATTGAACAAGATAATTATTAAATTAAATAAGATTTACTCACTTATATATTCCACAAACTGGGTGTCATTTTCCTTCAAGTAATCGTCGATTACGACGACTAATTATTGAATTTTCATGTAATAAAAAAGAAATAATTTTTTAATAAGTATGACCACAAGTTCCTCTTTGTCATTTCAAAACTTTTCACTTTTTATTCCCATTTTGTCCCTCTCTCTTTCTCCTCGTTCGTCTCCTTTCCGGCACTCTGCACACTGCAGAGAGAGAGAGAAAAGAAAGTGAAAGCACGTAGAGAGACAGACAGAGAAAACAAACCCTAGGAAACTCCATTTTAATGGAGAATCTCTCACATTCACTTTCCAGAACAACTTCTTACACCAGCAATGGCCACTTCTCGGCTAGTAAGACTATGTACGACGACGTGTTTGGAGGTCCGCCGAAGTATGGAGTTCACACTCTCTCTCCTCGCGTCGAAGACTACACTGAGATTTTCGGAGGCTTTAGTTCTTCCCGAGCCTCTTCTATTCCGATTCTTGATCTTCCGGGGGTCGACGACTCCGACCTTCTGTTTGATGTTCGGAGCTCCAAGTTTGACTACTCTGAAGTGTTCGGAGGTTTCAGCGGCCTGGATTTCGTGGCTTCGTGCGAAGAATTGTTCACTCACTCCAACGGTGGAGTTGATTCCTCTGACGAAGCTTGGTATGACTGATATTGTCGCTTTTGCCTCGTTTGTATCATCCTATTTGTATGCTCATTTTATGATGAAACTCTCTATGAAAATGTTTATCTGCTCCTTTTTTTTCGGATCTCGTTCCTGTTACTGTGCTGAAAATGATTTATAGTTGAAGGATGCATTTAGTTTTATAATTTTCACCAACTTATCTGAGTGTGATAAAGTTGAAAATGTGGAAGTTACTTTGCGGCTTGCTAGAGGCTAGATTGCAAAATTGAAGTGTAAAATGATTTTTTAACTTGTGCATTAATCGACTCGGAGAGAAAGATGTAATGACTGCAGGACAAAAATGCTGATTGGGTTTGTTACAGAAATAGTCTTTTGTGGCCTTGCCCAGTGTGGAGCTTATGTACGCTTCCTAATTGTTTCCCCAGTAAATAGTTGTGCAGAATGTAATTCATGGTTAATTTTGGAGATGGGACAGAAGCAAGTTCTTTAGAGAGCAATGTTGAGGGGGGGAGTTTGTAGAGTGATACCTTTTTTTTTTTTTGTGCTTTAGCTTTGCTAAAAAGGATAGAAGGGGCAACCAGTCGTGGATGAATTTATTGGCCACCCATCTGGGAATGACCATGGTAGCCTATAGCAATTGGGGAACCACCTGATAATAGGGGCCTAGAAGGGGGCAAGCCGGTTGAGCCATAGCTTGACCCTAATCCTCTTGACTATTGCTGTAGAGTGATATTACTTTTTTGGCCTAATGGTGACTGGAATGTGAAGTTTTCCCAATGGCAATGTGGGGTGACTCCTTAGCTATCAGAGTTATGGAGGATACAGGTGTCACTTGATAATTGTAGTCTCTCAATTAAAAGATCTCATGGTTAAAGAAATGAGCAAGAGTGAAACCAAAGTGACACATTTGGTTCTGAATTATCTGATTGGGGCTTCTGATTCAGTTCCTAAAACAATGTTTAGCCTTCTGAAAATCTGAGCATATAACTCAAACAATGCTATGATTTAAGAGATCCAGAGATATTAGGTTGTTTCTTTTGGTGTTAGTGCCATGATTGCTGATCAAGGTATGCTATCAAATCTTCTGTTAATAAGGTCCTATACATAAAATACAGCTTTTGTCAGAAAAATTTAAGGAAAGCCTAGCAACAAATGCATATTGAACGAACAATTCAAAGATTTGGATTTGTTTTTCTCATTTGTGGATATTCGAAGTTAGTTCAGACTGATATGGAATTGATTGTTGAATTTCTCTTGCAAACTATATATTCACTCAGCCAATTGATTTTGTTGGAGTTGTATTTTTGCTATTGCAGAGGTACACATACTTACATTTATTCATATTTGTGCTTCACATATAAAATTAATGTCCATAACATTAAAGATGAATAACTACATCTATGTATGCTGATATGCACAATAATTAAGAGAAAACTCATTCGTATGACATCCCTGCTTCTTCAATTGCAATTTGCTGCTAATGGGCAAAATATCATTTCACAGGTCCTGTTTCTGATTACATTGACCTTTTTGGTATAATGTCTCAAATATGAAAGTTAATCATGCACTATGTTTTTTTTTCCTGTTTCATTATAACAGGAGTCCAGCTCAAAGTGAGTATCTGTCAGATGAATCAGATCCTTCTGCTTGGTCTGGAAAGAATCAAGGCTTGACAAATGGAGATTCTCACCAGTCATTTGATGGCACAAAGCAGTTCAACATGTCATATAATAGGGCTAATCAAACAAGCAAGGAAGATATGTTAAATAGGACGATAAATGTGACTGAATTGAATGCCATCCCTGGATTTACTGTCGTAGTGAATGATGCCCCTCTGTTGCAAAAGATAGATGACAAGAACCCACCCTTGCAGGTAGAACCTGATCTCAACCTCAGCAAGGGTTTGGGTGGAGGAGTTATAGAAGGAAAGCGATTGAGAAAAACCAAGTCACACCCGCAAAACATTGTTTCCGGAACACAGACATATGGAAGTGATCTTAATCCTTTGGCAGGATATGAAAGAACTGGCTCTTGTCGGGATGAGACATTTATAACCGTGTGTGATATCAGCCTTAAAACTCGGCCCACTCAGTTGCCGCCACCTTCTAGACCACCACCTGCTTTGGCTGTTAAAAATGAAGATTCTGATAGACCGAAGTTGAGACTCAAGACCTCTAAGAGTTATGCTTTTGAACGGATTGCAGGTGACAGTTCACCACCTTTCTTTGACGTGGAAGTAGATGCAAGTGCATCTGCTGCCGCATCTGCTGCCGCTATGAAAGATGCAATGGAGAAAGCTCAAGCAAAACTTAGAAGTGCAAAAGAATTAAAGGAGAGAAAGAAGGAGGGAGTTCAAAAGCCCACGAAGCGGTGCTCAGAGAATGACATAAAAGATAAGGCGAGAAAGGGAAGTGAGAAGTTTGATGGATTTAACAGCTTTAAGGATGAGAGGGTGCAGGGAACACATGAAAGAAAAATGAGTGGAATGCAAATTTTTGCAGGGGAGGACAGCCAAGAAGTGTTGAAGACATCGCATGGAGTTTCAAGTTCCATAGAAGGGGATAAGCATTTGAACAGTGCACAGAAATCTGCAGGAAGGAAGCATGCGAAGCATTTTAGTTCATCTCAAGGATCTTGTAAAACTGAAGATTTTGATGCATGGAAAGAACAATTTTATGAAGTGGTTGAAACTGATCACTCCAGCATGACTTCTGATCTGGTTAAGGGTGAAAAGACTTTGGTGCAAAATACAAAGCAAAAGATGATGTCCCACGCGTACAGAGAGGAGAAAAAAGCAGTCATGGAAAAGTTTGAGCAGCAAGAAGTTAATAGGGAGATAAAAGCAGCAAGACAGGCTCATGAATGGGAAAAGAACATGAAACAACTAACAGGGGCTAAAGGGGATTGTGAATGGGAAGAAAATAAGGGGCGATCAGTAGCCGCTAAACAGTTGAACAGGCAAGAGGAGCGTCATGAGAAAGTAAAAGTGGCTGAAAGGGTTCATGAATGGAAAGAGAATGATAAGAAATTAAGAGTTTCTGAACAATGGGGAGAAACCGTGAGTATACTAAGTGAAACGGGTAAATGTGAAGAATATGAGAACCTGATAGAAGATCAGCAGAAAGAGATGGAACCGGGCGTCGAACAGAAATTAATAGGGGCTGCTGGAAAGATTGAAAATGAGAAAAGAATTGAGGATTCTCATGAAAGTAAAGAGAATGGAATTAGATCAAAAGAGAGTTTTGAGAGGGAAGACTATGAGAGCATTCTCGAAAAGGCTGTTGTGCGAGCAGAAAATGAGAAAAGAATGAAGGAGACTATAGAGCAGGAAGAAGAAGAAGAAGAAGAGCAGCAAAGGGAGGTTCGTGAAAGAGAAGATATAGAGAAGAAACAAAAGGAGTGCTGTGAAAGACAAGAAAATGAGAATAGAATGGAAGAAACTCTTGAGCGAGAAGAGAGTGACAAGAGGTCAAATTTGGATTTTGAGCAGGAAGAGAACAAGAAAGAGCAGAAACTGGCTCAACAGAGAGAACAAAAGGAGAATGGGATAACAAAGGCTTGTCAGCAGAAAGAAAATGAGATGGCCTTGAACAAGACTGTAGAACGGGATGAAAGTACACTGATACGAAAAGAGCCTCATGGAAAAGAGGCAGAAGCGAAGAGACCAAGTGATGCTTGTGAACGAGAAGAGGATGATAAGAGACTTATAGAGGCTTGGGTGCAAGAATTACAAGAGGCTCATGAAAGAGAAGATAGTGAGAAGAGATTAGAAGTTACATTTAAGAAGGAAGGAACTGAGAAAAGATCAAATGAGGATAGTGAGTGCATTAGAGTTGCTGGTGATTGGGAAGGATTGAAGGGACGAGACAATGGTCATGAGCAAAATGGGAGGGTTGAGAATGAGAGGAATCTAAATTCCAATCAAGAAATTCATTTGCACGTAGAGGCATTTGATGGAGTGTGTAATCTGCATGACAGTGAGACTCCACAAGCAACAGAAGTGGTCAGTAAGCATGAAAAAAACAGGGGAAAACTGGAAACATCTCAAGCAGCCCTTGCATGTGAAGAAGATGTAAAGTTGAGGATTGGACCCAAAGATGGAAAAAACGAACTAGAAGTAGCTGCAGAGGTGTTTGTTGAAGAAAGTTTCAGCTCATATGGCATGCATCAAGATAGCTTGCAACAGGAAGGGAATCAATTAAGAATGGAAAACGGCAGTGTAACAAAATTAAATGAACCTGGCATAGGCATTGGACAAAGACAAGTTGAGAGTGAGAATATAAATTCTGGAATGGTGTCTGATCCTGAAAATGCAAATATACACACTCATGAACTGGGAGAGACAGGGAATAACATCAACGGGGTTCAATTTGCTTTTGACCTGGATGGAAGCAATTATAAATTCACATCATTTCAGATTGTAGGAGAGTGGATTGAAACTGTAAGTAAAATGGGAGATGCAAGGTTGGGAAGTGAAGAAAAAACACAGAGTACAGCGCAAAATATTCCAAGGCAAAGCACAGAACAAAAAGAGAGGAATCTAAATGAGACCATTGCATACGAGGGAGAGAAAGAAGAAAGGCTGAAAAGGAAAGGAGAGCTGGAAAACGATCGGGTAAGAAAGATGGAAGAAGAGAGGGAGAGAGAAAGAGAAAGAGAAAAGGATAGGATGGATGTTGATAAAGTAACTCGTGAAGCTCGTGAAAGGGCATTTGCTGCTGTGGAGAGGGCAACTTCTGAAGTCCGACCAAGTGCAATTGCTGATGCACGTGAAAGATTAGAGAAAGCATCTGCAGAGGCTAGGGAGAGATCATTGGCTGAGAAGGCATCTATGGAGGCCAGACTCAGGGCAGAGCGTGCTGCAGTAGAAAGAGCAACTGCAGAGGCTCGAGAGCGTGCTTTTGAAAAAGTGAGGGCTGAGAAGGCTGCTTTTGAGGCACAGGAACGAGTGGAGAGATCTGTTGCAGATAAATTCTCTGCTTCTTCCAGAAATGCTGGGATGAAAGAGAGCTCCTCATCTGCTGTGAGTATCCTTCGTTTTTATGTTTGATATTCATGCTCACTAGCCTATTAAAGGAATGCTGATTGGAGGATCTACAGGAGCGGCAATTTCAGAGCATGGGGTCTTCCAATGGGTTGGGATATTCATATTCTTCAATTCAAGGTGGTATGTCATGTGTGGAACACCAGCAATCATTTTCTAACTGTTTTTTCTTTTCCTTCTTTTTGGTTTCAGAACCTATTGTCATCTTTTATTGACAATCAGCTTATTTGAAGTTTTTAAAAAAGATATTATATCATTTGATTTTAAGTTTCATATAATACGGAAAAACTATGTAGGAGTTGAAGGTGAATCAGCTCAGAGGTGTAAAGCTCGGTTGGAGAGGCATCAGAGAACAGCTGAGCGTGCAGTATGCACTCTTTTTTCTTCTTGTTTTATCTTCCTTTTATAGATCTGGGATTTTTTTTCTGTTACCTCCAACAGTATGTCTCTAGCTCATTTGGTGGCCTATTTCAGGCAAAAGCTCTAGCAGAGAAGAATATGCGTGATCATCTTGCTCAAAGAGAGCAAGCAGAGAGAAATGTAAACATCTCTCCACCTTAGTAACTTTGGAAACTGATACCTAGCTCTGCTTGTTTTATAGTACATTAACTTGTGTCTTTGCAGAGATTAGCAGAAACCCTGGATGCTGAAGTCAAGAGGTGGTCAAGTGGGAAGGAAAGGAACCTGCGTGCATTGCTTTCAACATTACAATATGTATGCATAATCACCCCTAATCCCTTTACTCTTAAACGCACTTTGAATTCGTTGGTGCATCAGGTGTGTTCACTGCATGCTGACTTGTTGAGATGTCTTCTACAGTTTGTCTGACAAGAAGTCTAAAAACATTTTTGGAAAGGGATTTGACATACAGTAGGAAATTGTGTTTATTGTGCCTGTTGATGTAGTTTTGAATTTTGCATGCATGTTAGTTAGGGTATAGCTTGCACCAGAAAATGATTGTGCGCTGGAATTGAGATTGGACTGATTTATTAATACTGGTCTTCAGAGTGTTTCACCTTTCTGTGTTAATTTCTTATTACCTGGTTTAAGAATTAGTTAGCCAGATTATTGAGCCAACATCCAATCGTACAGGCATCGTTCATTTTAGTTGTCTTACAGTTGTTGCAATATTTTTACAATTTGCTGAGTGGAGTAAAATTACAATCAGTAATATATGTTGAGATGCACAAAAATGTGAATCCACTGAGCTTACCATGAGAATTCACTAGTTTACACCATATCTTTTGAATCCCCCCCTACGAGGAAAAAAAATCACTCAAAAAGTGTTGTTCACACTTTCTTCTCAAAACATGTGGCCTTACAAAGGCAATTTTTATTAATCATCTAAGCTGTTCTTCAGTTGTGGATTACTGGTTATCTGATATTGTAGTTCACATCGTATGATTAGCATTGTGTGTTGATACTAATGCTCACTGTTTCTTCCTGAATATTATTTATGACTGACCTTTTTGTTTATACCTTTCTGTGAACCCAATCTCGACATGATATTCTCTTCATTTGCAGATTCTTGGGCCTGACAGTGGTTGGCAGCCAATTCCATTGACAGAAGTTATTACTTCTGTTGCTGTAAAGAAAGCCTACCGAAAAGCCGCGCTTTGTGTGCACCCTGACAAATTACAACAAAGGGGTGCCAGTATTCAGCAGAAGTACATATGTGAAAAGGTTTTTGATCTCCTAAAGGTGAGTTACTTCCCCTTTTCAACCAAGACAATTCATGACAGTATGTTCTAGTCCTACAATCCCACAGAATTTCCGCCACGCCAATAAAATTCTCAACCAAAAAAATATTAATAATTTGCTCTCTGCATTTTGGTAATAGGTTGTTACTTTCATGATCTTTATGTAGTGAATCCTTCCTCTTCAGTAGAAATATGAATGTCAGAGTGGTGAGCTTGTCATGTTCTTCTAATCTCATTAGTATAGTTGAAGAGTATTATTAAACTTCTTACTCAACCTTATCATGAAAAAATCCTGTACTTCAAATTATTTTTTGATGCAGTCGTCCTTCAATTTTAATTAAGTACTATAAGCTTTCTATCACATTTACAAATGCCGAGTGGACCACACTTTGTATTTATTTATCTATTTATAAATTGGTGGTAATAAAGGGAAGAAAAATCTATTTTGTTGTTAAGGCAGTATTCTTCCCAATAAGACCCAATATAATATACCTACTAAATAAATAAAAATTTTGGGCTTTTATACTCCACTATATTTTCCCTAGTCAACCGCTTTGGGTAAGTTTTCTGGTGTATCAAAGAGACGATGTAGTAATAGTTATTTTCTTTTATAAAAAACTATGAAAGTAACAAACTTCATTTTCTTCCCATTCCACAACTGCCCACCCTGTGGAAATAGGGCGGAGAGTGGGTAACAGGTGGGAGTGTTGCACAACTGCCCACCCTCCATCTGTTACCCACTCTCTTCCCTATTTCCACAGGGTGGGCAGTTGTGGAAGGGGAAGAAAATGAAGTTCGTTACTTTCATGATGAGAGTGGGTAACAGATGGGAGTGTTGCAAGCTTAAATTGACAATGTGTTAACTTTATGAATGGGTTCCGATTCAAACATGTGGTTGATTATCATTGTAAGGGGAAGAAAATGAAGTTCGTTACTTTCATGATGAGAGTGGGTAACGGATGGGAGTGTTGCATGCTTAATTTGACAATGTGTCAATTTTATGAATGGGTTCCGATTCAAACATGTGGTTGATTCTCATTGTCTTTCTTTTTCTGTCTACGTTTAGGAGGCTTGGAACAAATTCAACTCGGAGGAGAGGTAGTTCAAACCTTTTGTCTGCTGCCAAGAGGTACACAGTTGTAGTGACGACGCAACACATCTCGTGATTTATTCTGTAAGCATGTAAATCTCTCTCTTTTGCCCTTTAATGTAAGCTTAAGCTTCATGGATTGGCAGGAAAGGTGTATTATTAAAAAACAAGTGCCGCTCTCTGTTGAAAATCCTGGTCCCAATTTTCTACATTCTATCATTAGTCATTGCTATAAGTACAAAATAACAGGTCATTCATTTATACTTGTCGTCCGTTGTAGAAAATATTAATTGCGGAGCGAGAAACGCTGAACTTAGTCCTATGTTCAAACTTTGCTTTCATCATGGAGCATAGGTACATGATGAAAGCAAAGATGGGCCAAACCTATGCTGGAGGTGTATAGGTTCATCATGAAAGTTTCATGGCAGCTGGAGGTGTATAGATGGGGCAAACCTATCCTCCATGGTGTAACCTATGCTCCATGGTGTAACCCATAATCTCTATTGGAAACGGGTGATCAACCACTTAATGGAAACCCGATTGTCAACTAAAATTGTTCTAATAATTCTTTTTTTTTTTAATGATAATTTTATAGTTATCCTCTTGAAGATCTATTCCTACAATTGGCTATGATTCTGTCAAGGAATTGGATAACTGGATTCACATAAACACCATCGGTCTCACTAATTTACGAAGTGCCGAAGGGTCTGTTTTGGAAATCTAGTGAGCTGGAGGTTAGTGTGACTAGTTTTATGTTGGCCTCTATACAAAGCCATTACATTTTCGAATTGGGAAAATGTTTGGGTAAATTAGATCTACCTCCCTTGATGTTTATCCAAATGACGACTAGATCCCCTCAGGTATAGATAATAACATTGCACTCTCCGTTGTTTTGGTTGTCTATAACGGATTGCTGATGTTAGATATTTGATGATGTAAGCCACCTAATGTTTTAAAATGCCAACACTGCCCTTATCAAAGGGATAGAAAATTGCAATTGTTTCCAAAAAAGCCTTATCCATATTAGAAACAAAATGAAATAGTTGCCAAACAAACTCTTCTCTCTCTTTCATACCAATAAGGATTATGGCCCAGGTAACCCAACAATCAAGGCAATGAAAAAGGACGCAAACAAACTCTTCACCCTCCACCTTCTTCTCTCTCTCTCTCTCTCTCCCCTAGGTGTGATTTCAGGGATGGGAGGTCATTGTAATGAATTAAAAAGCACTGAGAAGCTATTGAAGAGCTAGTTTTGAGGTCTGCATTTTGGAGGTGGTGGTTAGGGTTTTGGATGAATCCTCCAATTTTTTTTGGGAAAGTAGAATCCTTCGAATTTGGTTTAAGGTATTGAGTGATTGAGGAATTCAGTTGTTATTTGTCAATTGGTGTTTCAATTTTTTCGGGTACTTGATTGGTGTGTTTGAGTGGTGTTGGGAGTTGGAGGATGATGTGGGTTTTAGGTGGCCATCGAACTAGAGGGTAGTGGTTGAGTTGACAGGTGGTTGTGCAAGAAGAACGTCTCCCCCCCACCCCCACCCCTCTCCCCTAACGGTGGGTGATGTCGAATGATTTTTGTCGAGTAGTGTGAGTTTTGTGTGTTTGTGGGAGATGGATTCGTAAAGCAGAGAGAGAGTGTTGCAAGCGTGCTATGAAAGATCAGTCGCGATGAATTTCATTAATCATGATGAATTGTTATTGATTTTGGTCATTTGGTTCTCATGTTATAGATCAATTATGGTGAATGTCATAGGCCTCGCCAAAAAGCCCAAAGTCCAATGATCGCCACGGCTCGTACATGTGGTAGGATTTGGGTAGCCCGTTAGCCCGGCGGGTAGACCTGTTAAGAAACCTGTTAGCCCACCCATTTGCACAATAAGATAATTAGATTATATTTTATAATTGTATTGTTTATTTGATATTTGATTCGTAACTTTTACTAGTTGAGACTTGCAAATGATTGACAATTGTATAAGTGTCAACCTAATTAGGATGTATTCAATTTATAGTGATACAAAATAGTTCACCCACCAATTAATTTGTAATTTAACATTATAACTCTATATGAATGTTTGTTAAATTCAATCAATATGAATTATTTTTTTGTTAATTTATTTTTTCATATCAACTTTATGTAATTGAGGTCGTTTTGCATTTTTTTTACATAAAAACCCTGTTTCATAAGGCCCGGCCTGGCCTGTATTTAGCCCATTTTTGGCCCAATAGACTGCTTCACAAGCGGGCTATGGGCTTTAAAAATTTCAAACGGACGAGCCCCACCTGCGATTAGTCAAAGCTCAGAGGTCCGGCCCACGGGCAGGCTATGGGCTAAAAAATGTCAGACTGGGCGGGCCCGGTCCAGCCAGTTGCCGAGGCCTAAATGAAAGTGCTTTTTACACTGTTAGTCACTTACTCACGTTCCATTATTTTGCATTTGTACTGGGGAAAATATTGTGTTTTTTTAACACATCACGATATGGCATTGTGTGATTGGATCCCACAAAACTAGATAGTTAGTTAATCAATACAGCCATTTCGGCAAGGGTACTGTTGTAATTTTGTTGTTACTGTTAGAAAATTGATATGGTGGTTACTGACAAGGGAGGCCAGTGTTATTATTCATACCTGAGGGGGTCTAGTTGTTATTTGGACAAACCTTAGGGAGAAATGGATGCAATTTACCCAAAATGTTTTCACTACTTGGTATTATTCAAAAGTCAAGTCTAACAGTTTTTCCTGTAATCCAAGTCATAAAATAATCTCGGAATAAGCCACTTATTTAAAATTGCTCTGTAAAATGTCTGGCTTGATTAACCACTTATTAGGGTATGTTTAGTTTAGGTATTAAGGGGTAAATTGGATTATATTAATTCAATAATAATATAATACTAAGTTTAGATGAGTTTATAGTGACTTGGTAATAATTTTAATTGGAGTTAATAGCACTTTAGGCATTAAAGTATGTTCATTTTATTAGTTTAATTCTCATTGTATTAATTTTATCAATTTGGTCCCTAAAGTTTTAATTCGTGTCATTTTGGTCTCTAATCATACAATTTTTTCAGATGGTATTGCATGCTCAATATATGATCATTCTGTAAAAAACTTAACGGTCCATCTATGAAGGGATTATTTAAATACGAATTGAATACTTTAAGAATCAAATTGATAAAATTTATAATTTAGGGACTAAATTGACAAAACATCCATACTTTAACCTACAAAAGTGTTATTAACCCTTTTAATTAACTCCGACCTAGTTCACTATATCCATTTAACACCTAATATTAGGTAGTAATGAATGTCATGTAGTAGATGATATTATTTTTAACAAGTATTAATTAAAAGTGTAATGACTTTATTATCTTTGCAAAATTAGAGTCACACTTTCATATAAAAGTTACATATTATGTAAATTTTTACCCTCAATATTTGTTGTCATTTTTAATTTAATATTATACATTATTACTTAATCCAAATATAAATTTAGTATTATAATTATAGATTTATATGTTATCTTAATCTTGATCCAAAATTGTTATACAAAAATAAGATTAAATAATACTTTTGTTAATACCATTTTATGGATTGGGTGAAAACTAATTATCCAATTTCATCTTTTATTCGTACCTGAACCAAACATGCCTTAGAGTTTGAGTAGTTAAGGAATTATGGATCTAAATTTATTTTTGAGTCTGAACTCACTGTGATTGCAAAGGATAATTACTTAACACTAGACATATTTCAGGCTTATGGCTGCTTTTTAATCGTCTAAAAAGCTTATTTTTCCAAGGTAAGCAACACACACAATCCCCCAGAATAACATTAACAATTAGGATTAGGAAGCAATTCCTTCTTTGTCTTGGCCATTGGCATTGTTTTTGGAAGGAGAGGGAAGCAATTCCTTGTCTTGGCCAGTGGCATGGTGTTGGATGGAGTTGGGGAGCATTCCTTTTTCTCTGCAAGTATCAATAGCTCCTTTGTACATGTCCTCCAAGCTGTACTTAAACTCAAAACCCATGTCTATCAACTTCTTGGATGAGAAAGACACCACTGGCAAGTCCTTATCAATGCCCTTGAACCTGTTAATGCCAACATTTAAATTGTGATCCAGTTCCACCTCGCTTGGCGAAGGTGTGAAGTATTTGATAAGTGTGAACTTTTTGATCTTTCGTTGTACAATACGTTTTAAAACTATGCAATCTTAGTCCAAAACAGACAACATTGTATAATATCGAGGGTGTTGTAATCCATATGGAACCATGGACTCTCGTGGGGTGGAGGCCAAGTATTCAGTGTACCCTTGTGTAGTGGGGGGCGATGGAGGTAATGGATTTTGGCAAATCAGTTTCACATTGTGTGGTAAAGCCTCCGTGAAGTGCGTTATAAATACGAAATTCGTGCTTTTATTGGACAATATGTTTAAAAGCCGTACGGGTTTAGTCAAAATGAACAATATTGTACGAGATATGTAGAGATCAAAAGAGAGGTTGCTTACTCTGCAGGGACGTTGTACTCGGGCCATTTCTCTCTAATCATTTTGGCCAAATCGTAAATGGTTGCATCATGTGAAGAGCATATGTATCTTCCCTCTGCTTTGGGATGCTCATACAGAAATATATGAGACTCACAAAGATCATCCAAATGCACAAACTGACCCTGCTTGATAATGGAGTAATGAGCCTTATTTCCTGCAAATAATAATATTAGAACAAGGGTGATCAGAAAGGGGAAAAAAATATTTAAAAAATAAAATAAAATAAAATAAAATGAAAGGTAACTGCTAGGAGTAAAACTGTACCAGTGATGGGGGAAAGTGCAGTAATTAAGCTTGGAGGGAAAGATGGGATGATAAATGGACCTACAACTAGTGTTGGTATGATACTGACGAAGTCAATGTTGTTCTCTTTAGCGGCTTCCCATGCTGCTTTCTCCGCTAAGGTTTTTGACACAAAATACATCTGCAGACAGAGAGAGAGAGAGAGAGAGGGAGAGAGATTTTGCGCTCAAAAAGATTTTTCGGTATTAAATAGATTTTCGGCTGTAGATCTTAGTCTGAGTTATTTGTTGTCATTGATCTTTGAAATAATAAAATAAAATAATAGTATAATAAAAACTTGGGTTAATAGCACTTTTAGTCTTTAAAGTATGTATTTTTTTTTCAATTTAGTTCCTAAAATATTCAATTTGTATTATTTTGGACAGCAGAGTCAAACCTACATGAATTGAGTCACATATTGCTTCAATTTGACTTGTTTACAAAATAAACTGACAATATTTAACTTTATATTCGATTCATTTTACAATTTGAAAGAGTTTGAACAAATCAATACTTTTTTACTAAGCCACGGAGTAAAAGTTGTTCAGATCGTTTAAAACCTCTAGTTAAGCCACATGGGACAACAAGTGGTGTTGGTGATTTTAGATTATTATCTCTTATAAGAAACAGCTATCAGTTATTCATAGGAAAACATAGAAGAATTGGAAAATTCAGTGAAAAAAAAGATGGGAGGCATTTTGAAACACAAACCCATGCAGTCATCTTCTTAGAGTAGATAAAATCCAAGTCACTCCAATGGTTTTCATCATAGACATCAAGTTGATGTTCCTGAACATTTACAGTTCCAGCCGAGGAAGTGAACACCAGCCTCTTGACTGTTTTGGCTTTGGCACATGATTTTATGATGTCCAACACACCTTTAATTGTTGGCTTGATCATTTCATTCTGTCATGGAAAAAAAAAATCAATCAAAAACACAGTATATCAATGAGATGACGACAATGTTTTTCTGAGTATTTATGCAAGTGAATAATGTGGGTCTTGGTGTAAAGGTAAAATTAGTTTACTGTCACGAGTTTGAGTAGCTGAAACAGTCATTTTGCACGTAGGGATAAGACTGTAAACATTTAACCATTTCTAGATATTATAATAGCGAGAGTTTCGTTCATTGAATACGTTTTTTATTTATTTATTTATGTATGTAATGTGGTTAAGGTATGGATAAATTATTGATTATTTCAATGTGGTTTAATTCCATAACACATTATGATGATGCATAAAAGTGAATTTATGTACAATTAATCAGTCGAGTGTTATGATATAAAACAATTAATGAAATATTCAATAATAAGAGACAAATATTAGGTGGTTGAGCCTGAATAACCTAACCACTGAAGGTAGCAACAGTGGTCAGAGCACTCTATTAATGAGAGAGTAAAAGATAATGAGAGAGAGAGTACAAGAGTATGCTCAAGGTGAGGTGAGTATGAGTCCTCTACCCCATGTGTAGGGAATTTACAATTTATAGGTACAGAGCCCTAGTTAAGGCAAAAACGTAAAACTTAAGCTACTAATTTGTCGGAGATGATAGATATAGTTGGGGATGTGCATTATCTTGAAATAATGGCGATCCTGATAATTGTTCTTCTACGTACATCGACTCTTTCTGAATTTTTGAGTTTTAGACTGGATTGAAGTCATGAACCTGTTTTTTAACAATTTGGGTTTAACCCATAAACTGGACCCAAGCCTACTCTGAATTTGGGTTCGTCACATTACCTTCTTATACTTTGGAAACTTATATATATATATATA